GGGGGCGGCGCATTTGACTGACTCATCCACTCTCTGCTTCAGGCGATTACTAAGGCCGTGTGCATACCCCGATTTGCAAGTCTTTCTCCCGCCCAGCAAATGCGGATGTGTCACACGGGATAGTCTGCCAAGCGTCATCAACATCTTGGAGATGGTTGGCGGGCAGTCATGTCTCAGCCTGGAAAGTCTGCGGAAGTGACTCTATGAGGCGACAACTTTCTGAGCATGCGGAAAAGTCCTAAATTCCGGCAAGGGGCCCCTCTGCAACGACATCAACTGCAGTGTCAAAGCTTTGCTCCCAAGAGAAGCCAATAAGGATTCCCAAACCTGGCGCGTTTCTCATGCTCAAGTCGCTTGGCTTGGAGCAGTTCTTGGTCCTATGTTGATTTGGCAAAGGCACTGCTGCAGAATGCTTGTGCACCTCAGGTCAGTTTGGGCTCTAGGCTTTTTGCTTCTGCAATGCTTCCCTCATGCCTGGACTGAAGAATACGCACTGGTTGTTTTCACCCTCGTGCAATTTAAGGCATGCTTGCCAACGCCATGCAGTTGAACCGGGCAAAACCAGAGTGACAGCTGCTTGCAGGCAAATTGTGTTGGAGCTGACTGCCAATCGACTCCAACAGTGCTTCTCATCATCAGACCTTCCTCCAGTAAGATTTGGGGGTATCTCGGACAGGTTTCTGCAACCTCTTCCAAGTGCCGCCTTGTTAAAGCGTTGTGAGAAAGTCAAAGACGAACCTAAAGGAAATTGAAACATATGCAAAGCGACCAGACCAGCACGTTCTCCCTTCCTGCCCAGCCTGTGATCATCTTCTCTGTAGCACCTTCGGCGATCTCGGAGTCTTCGCCAAAGAGATGGTTGTCCTCAACCTGGCACATTGGACACAACCTGTTGAACCTCAAACCTAAACCAAGCCAACGAGCGACCAGTGAGTATTCTGGATTCAACTGTCTGTTGAGTAGCCCACCTGCATATCGCCCGCCAGCCCATCCATAAAACATGTTGCGGGCATCCCTCACTGTGGAACAATCAAGCAAAGCTATCGTATACTATGACCAAAGCCAGGTCAAGCCAAGGCTCTGTTAGGCTCTGTTACGTTGACGCCCTATGGCGGGCGGCTGGGGTGGCACACGTCAGACGGTGCCCCACAGCAATCTCCCCACTTGCGCCAAGCAAATCAAAGCAATGCCAAGCTAGATCAAGAAGTGGACACAAAAAAACACAAGGTGAGCCCGCGGACCCAAAAGCAAAAAGAAGCGCACACCCAGCAAAAATAAACAAACACAAATTAGCAGGCCAAAACGAAGCATCAGCCCCCTCCAGGCTTCGTGGCAACTATGATATTTCAAGCATCGCGGTGCTGGTGCAACACAGCTCCACTCACCTCCCAACGGGCTTCCGCGAAGCATGGAGCAGCACTACCCCCACCCATGCTTCGTTCTACTTG